GGTATGGATCGGCTGCGGTGTGTGGTCCACGTGGGGAAGTGGTCGGTTTGTGGTCCACTCCCTCATCCGAGTCTCTCAAGCTTCCGATCTTCACTACCTCCGGGGTAAACGCCCGAGTATAAGTCATTTGACAGACCAGCCATGTTGCGACTAGGATTGTTAGCCTCATTCCTTGATTGACTCCGCTCTCGAATAAGCGGGGCCTAGTCTGTCTACTTGCAAAGAACAGAAGATGGGTATGTGGACTGCATACTTTTTTGATTCTATGGGCGGTTACCATTGCATGTTAGATGCCACTTACTAAACAACTGTAGGTTTGACACCGGTCCATTTCTTTTCACATGGCTCTACCATGATGTTGGGCGAGGAGAGCACCTCGGCCGATTACTGGCGCAAGTGTGGTGATGAAGCACTTGCGCATGGGATCAAGGGCGTTGTGATCATGGTAAGGAACAAGCCATCACCGAAGAGACACCAGTTTCCCGCCAACTAACAACGCAACCCTTTCAGGGAGCCCACTGGGACTGCTTCAACGACCAAATCCAAGTCGCGACGAACCCGAAGCCCGGCAAAAGTCCGGTGGCCTACGTCGACCCGGCGAAGTACGTCGACTACCCGCTCAACCCGGACCTGGCGACCTCGCAGCGGTGCATCGAGCTCCTGGCGCGCGAGGGCTTCAACGTCAGCGGCAACCCGACCTTCGAATGGATCCATGACGTCTACCTGATCCTGATCCGGATGTTCCCCCACGGCTGCCCGCCGACGACGGTGATCTCGCTGAACGCGCGCTACGACCCGCACTTCCACCTGAAGGTCGGCGCGGTGCTGCGCCCGCTCCGCCGTGAGAACTACCTGCTGATCGGCACGGGCGGCGCGGTGCACAACCTGTACCGCAACCGCTGGGCGCCCATGCTGCGCTTCCGCGACAACTTCGCCATGGAGACGCCGCCCGAAGCCTGGGCGCTGGAGTTTCGACAGGCCGTCGAGGACGTCCTCATGAAGACCTCCGGCCCGCAGCTGCGCCGCGCCATGACCCGCCTCATGAAGCACCCGGAGTACCGCGATGCGCATGCCACCGACGATCACTTCATGGCCGCCATGTTCGTGGCCGGTGCGATGGGCGATTGGGAGGATGAGGGTAGTCCCGCGGTGCTGGGCGCCGAGACCTGGGAGCTGACCAATATGTGTAATTCGCAGTTTACCTTGGGGGCGTGGCCAATTAAGGTCTGAACTTTGGGCAGATTGGAGGGTTTATGATTTTCCCCGGGAAGACTTCGGAGTTGTCTTGGTAGTTTTTTTTTTTTAGTATTAAAGTCTTTTTATAGGCACAAGGCTACTACTACTACTCAATACAAGCATGTGCCTTTTTTGACCCTTGCTTGAGTTATGCGCATAATTAGAGTTCCGTGCATCGGAACTGACATTGCCCTGCCAGAAGCTGAATGTCGCTACAGATGTTGAGTCTAATTGCCGGGAGGGACACAATCTAGTGATAAGATGATAGTTTATAGGGATGCGATCATATGCTGATAGCGATAAACAATGTATCTCTGAGTGTCTGGGGTGTTGCAGAGTCCACGCAGGTAAGCTAAAGTGCAACGAAGATGAGGTGGTCTGGCTGTCTGAGTCAGCCGAGCATAAAAGCTTCCCCGGGATTCCATAATTCCATTTCCCTTCGTCACTCACTCAATTCCCATCTTATCCACTTTCTTTCTTTAATCGCTACCGCTGCCGCTGCCGCCTCTCTCTTCCTGCTAATCCCCGTGCGTAATCAAATGTCTGCCTGTGCCCTGAGCTTCAGCTGTCTTGTTTTCGCTACAGTCCATGCCACGCCCATTCCCCTTACAGATGTCGCATCATGGCGACCGTGAATCAGAACATGTTTGAAGCCAGTGTCACCACGGATCGGCCCAAAGGTGCTCCGTTACTCGTTCTGCCGCTGAATTTGATCGCTCTCATTATCTCCTCCGTGCGTCCCCCACGAGTCCTTGTTTTATTCTCCGGTAAACAGTACTATGTAAGATGCTAACCTTCGAGACTTCTCATAGCTCGATGATCCTGGTGATCTCGCTCGTCTCTGTCAAACATGCCGCGTACTCAATTACATGACTCTGCCCCAACTCTACAAGAACATCACCTTGACCTCCTATGACAAAATCCGCTATCGGGATGACCAGCCGGAGGGCATGGGGAGCGCCAGCCCATTCTCCATGGGGCTCAACGCCGTCATCACGCGCCCGTACGCCAACCTGGTGCGCTCGTTGACGCTCCGGGGAAATTGGCGCGAGTCGGAGCTGGAGGAGCATGCGCGGGTGGGCCGGGTGCCGGACTCCTCAATGATGCTGAATATCGCGGTGCGGGCGGCGGTGGACAAGATGCCTGACCTGGAGAGCTTCAGCTGGGAGCTCAACACCAAGATGATGGAGACGGTGTATCTGGGGCTGGCACAATTGCCCAAGCTCACTTCCTTGACTCTGCGGTTTCCGTCGAGCCGCCATCCGCGGCCGACCATCGTCATCCCGGCCATCCCCCAACTCCGGTCCCTGAAGATCACCGACATCGATCCACTCTGCTATCCGGACGACATCTCCACGCTGCTGTTCCGATGCAGGAAGCTGCGGGATCTGAAATTGCACTGGTCGCCGCGCATGCGTATCGAGCAGGAGCCCAGCGTCATGCTCCACGACTACTTTCGCAAGTGCATTGCGGCGAAACGACCCTTGTCCATCCGGAAGATTGGGCTGCAGAATCTGTATGCGCTGCATACCGAGGAGTTTCAGCTTGCCTTCGCCCAGCAACCCATGGAGGAGGTGACTATTCTCAATGACATAGGCTCGGATGTCTCGATGAACACGTTTGTGGACAGCACCTGGCCGACAGTCCCGCAGACTGAGATCCATATCAAATGTATCCGACAAGATGCGTTGTCGCGACGACATGCCGACTTCATAGGTCATTTCACCGGTCTGGAGAAGATGTATTTCGTCAACGCCAGCTCCAATCCCGGCCACGATATCAATTCCCCGCGACAGCCCGTCGCTGCCACGGCACTCACCCCGCCGCAGTCCGACACCAACGGCTCGGTGACGTACTCGTCTGCCGCAAACACCCCGGTCAACTCCCCTAGTCTGCAAGCAACCATTCGCGACTGCTACCTGAATAACATCATCTCGAACCATGCCTCCACTCTCCGTCACCTTCTGCTCCCCGCGCGCTGGCCACTGTCGGCCAACACGATAGCGCGGCTTGTGCACGCCAGTCCGCAACTCGAACAATTAGGTTTCGCCGCAGACTTCTCGACCATGGACACCTTGGGGCTACTATTACCGTTTCTCCGCCAATTGACCGCACTTCGCATCCTTGTTCCCACCGGCCCAGCATCGGATCAAGCGCGTCCCACCCAGTCTTCGTCTAAGCTGCTGACCGGCCAAACCTCCAAACTCTTCTCCCGCACCGCCAACCCCCTCGCCTCAGCACGCACTCTGCAAGAACTCGTCGAAGCCGACGATGAGATCCTCATCGAGAAATTCAGCGCTGCCCTCGCCGATCAACAGATTTTCCACCGTCTGAAAGTCCTCGGCTTCGGCCGGAAAGCCTTCCTCTTAGGTAAACACTATACCATTCCCACGGAACCGTCGAATGGCCACGCCGTCGAGCCTCAAACCCCGAGTACCACCCGCGCGCCAAGCACTGAGGCCGGTAGGAGTCCTTCGCAGCAACAGCAGCAGCAATTTAATTATGCTACGGCACCGGAGAAAGACCTCCCCAACGGCAACCATTATCACAACACGTACAACGCCTCGATCATCCCCGCCCTTAACACCAACTACAGCAGCAGCAACCAGCAACCTCCACCCTCCGTCCTAGGTAAACGCAACCGTCCGGATGACGAGGAGACCCCACCCGCCCGCACCGTGGAGACAATTCAGTCCCCAATCGAGGACGAGGACGGCCTCTGTCTTCCCAAGGTCATACGGGATCCCCGCGGTCGCGAATGGCGCCGCCAAGTCCGTCGGGTCGGGTGGGAAGTCCTGCAGCATTGGGAGATCTGGGCGTTGGACAAACAGGAGTTATGAGCTCGTTACAGTTTTTTTGAGTCAGTGTTTGGATTTTACAAAAAGGAACATATACCCTGGAGTTTTTTTCTTGTGATTTGTTTATGCCTTATATGGGTTTGAGATGTATATTGTGATGGTTGTTTGTGGATGTGGACATGCATGTGGGATTGGACAGGATACTGAGATATATGGTGTGATCTTATCCGAATGCATTGTTCGAAGGGCATTGAGCATGGATACGGTAATAGATGTCAAAACAGAACATTCCCCTCTCATTTCTGCTGATTCCATGTGTCGATCTTGTCGTCGCATCTAAGGATTTACTTTTGGATGTGTCACTGAAGCCAGCAAGAGCGTAGACTAAAAGTAGTAGCCTCCAGAATGATGGGAGAAAAGGACCCGGTGTCGTACCTCGATGGTGAACAAAGCGGAAAAGGACTAATCACTTTATAAGCTTACCATCCACGACGCCGAGGAGGGAAGACAACCACCAACTAACCTACCTTACCGGGTTTTGCCTTCGCAACTCGGCACGACATTTGATTCGTCGCTGCTGACATGCGCTGCAGGGCTCCCCCTGGGCCGAGGCGAGTGCATTTTCGTTTGGAGGATCGGCCTTGCAGGCATGCTCTTGGGGCTTTCATGCTGTTTCGGAGTGCCGGGGTGGATGCAGTGAGGTGTACGGAGTAGAAGGAAGTAAAGTAAAAGAGGTCGGGGTTGAAGGATTCCCAGTGGTGGATTTGAGCGGAGGCAGCGGCCCCACAGCCTTTCCATACATCGGGATATCTGTATCACAATTGGCTGTTTTCCGAGGCTCCGAAACCACCCCGATATATGGAGTCACTTTTACCATGCAACCACCACCCATGATATCAGGTGGATGCTCATCCATACTCACTACCAATCAAAGTCTCCTCACCGAGAAGCTACCAGAAGCAGTGAAAATGCACGTAAAACAGGTATATAAGGACTGCAATCGTATCCGCTTTCATCGCCAATGCTCAATTTTAATCTCAACCCCGAAACTCCTATTTCCAACCAATTCGACTATTATACAAATCATAAACATCCAGAAGACACTCCACAATGTCAAGCCTCTTAGAGCCCATCATTGTCGGCGGAAAGCTTCCGCTGAGAAACCGTGTGGTCATGGGCTCCATGACCCGGAACCGCTGCCTCGACCGAATGCCCGGTGCAGCACAAGTCAAGCATTACGCAGACAGAGCCAGGGACGGCGTCGGCCTGATTGTGAACGAGGGCACCTTTGTAGACTGGACTGGCTGCGACTGGCAATGGACGCCCGTCATGATCGAAATGGAGCATGCCGATGCATGGCGGAAAGTGACCGACGCCGTCCATGAAGCCGGTGGGAAGATTTTTTCCAAGCCTGGCACGCAGGTAGGTGAATGAGCTTAACAAAGAAGAGTGATGTCACCACGTGATACTCATGCAGGTCTGATAGGTCGGATTCAGCATGACCAAATGCCAATCATGAAAGAATCATGAAAGAAAAGGGTGGACGTGTCCTGGCGCCATCCAGCATCAAAGCTGAAGGGGGAAAATATCGTGACCTTCCGGGTCAGCCGGTATGAGATCATGTCACTCCACACCCGTGCCTTATTGAGAATTTCGCTGACCACAACCTGATGTAGGGGCATACGGATAATGTTGAGGAAATCAAGAATCCCCGTGACGTGATCGATACCTATCGACACTCCGTGCTGCTGGCTAAACATGCAGGCTTTGACGGCGTTGAGCTGCTGGCCCAAGGGTGAGTAGATGCCGTATCCTTCAAGACGGGCTTGATACTGATACGTATCGTGAATCTAGCGGTTACCTGTGCCATCAATTCCTCAACACGTACGTATTCCTCTCCAAAAGTCTTCAGGAATGATGTTAACCAAGGTGGCTCCGGGCACAGTCGTTCAAACAAGCGAACAGATAGCTACGGAGGTTCAGTCGAAAATCGCTGCCGATTCATTCTTGAACTAGTCGACACCATCAGTGAGATCTTCGGTGGACCCGAGCTTCTCTGTGTCAAGATCAACCCTACGGACACCTATAATGACTCCGCGACCACTTTTGAGGAGATGAAAGAGACCTACACATTCTTGATCAAGGAGCTCGTCGCCTGCAGGGTGGGCATCATCAACATCGGCCGCCGGGGGGCCGATCCCAATGCAGGAACAGGAGACTTCTTTGGACACGTCGGTCGACCTGAGGAGTTCCCTTTGCCTCTTGGTTACGACCCTGTCCTGGACTTTGGCCCGCTGGTCAAGTATCCCGGCAGCCCGTCCTTGCTCATGGCTAACCATGAATATACACCTGAGGAGGCGGATCGGCTGGTCAAAGAAGGGAAGCTGGACTTGATAAACTTTGCGAGGCCCTTTATCTATAACCCTGTGAGTAGGCTGACTTTTCGAGGTCATTCCTGAATGCTCGACTAACGATATCAGGACGTAATCTCGCGCATCAAGAATGGCGTTACTTTCGCCCAGAATGATCGGGGCAAGACTGTGCACTACGGACCCTATCGGGACCCGACGAGAACTACAATGACTGGCCTGCTGCTTCTCTCTAGTACATAAAGCATTCGGGTAGAAGGGTATGAGGAAGCTGCTGAGGGAACAAGAGACCCAATTGAGGATATATCACATACCTGTACAGCTTACTCTGCAAATACCCATAATTGAAATTACCTATACACAAATCACATGCTGTGAGCAAGGACTGCCGGGCTTGATCAAACGCTCTGCGCAGAATCCGAATCTCCGTCTTTTGCTTTTGTTTTCGAGCGCATATTGCACCAGCAATCGCCAAATTTCTCTTCTTAGTCGACGAGAGCGTGCCAGGTTCTTCTTTTGGGGGGTGGATAACAGCTGTTCTTCGCATCTATAGGGACTCCATGCACGGATTTGGTCTTCTGCTGCTAACCACAAAGGGAGGTTTGTAGGGGAGCCGGCCTTGGATCTCCCTCAATGTCTCAATTCGATAGCGTTGCGTCTCTGTAATGAGATCCTGCTGCTCATTAATGAGATGTTGCTGAATAGCAACAAGACGCTGCAGCACAACATAAAATAGGAACGGTTGGAGTTGTTTGAAAGCCGTTGTCAGAAGCTGTGGGGAAGGATCGTTGCTTAGTGCTGAGTCTAGACCTTTCGAATCTCTACCTCCCTTGCTACTAAGTAGATAAGGGGGGGAAGATCACCGTTAGTGACTTTCTAGTGAAGCCAGGATCTCAAGCACCTTGCCTGTCTCATAGAATCATTAATAAATGATAAACAAAAGAGAGACCAGAGAAGACTCGGATCATATCTGCGTAGAATATAGATCGTTGCCGAGCGTACTACTCAGTAGGTAAGGTGCTGCAGCTTCCCTCTTTTTTCCCCACCGCGCCTTATCGATAAAAAGGACCGGACTGTGACACGTGACGTCCACCCTCCGAAGCTGCAACAGCGAAGCTGACCATTCCCACTCTCTCGTTCCATTTCACTGTCCGTGTCGTTGAAGTCTCTCTCGTTGTGCCCTTTTTGTTCTCATCTGGCACCGTAGCATGCTTGGTCTTTGCCTGCTCATCTACTGACCATGGCGTCTGAATTTATCGGCTACGATGTGCTGGTGACTCTGCGAACGCCACCAAATGCAACTGTGCAAGGGGAAGTGGCCAATGTCATCGGCCAGCGTCTAATTCTACGGAATGGTAGGTAGAGCAAATCTTCAACACATCTTTTTAAACGGTTTCCCCAGGCTTGACCAAGAATTATCGCTAACCAACATGATCCTCACTTCTCAGTCAAGCTATCGTGGATCGGTCACCCGCTTCCGTCCTACTCCGTCGACGCTCCGGACATTGCGGACCTTTCAATAGCACCATCAGGCCAGCCCACTGCCCAGCAGCCCCCTGTCCCCCCTGCTCCCTTTCCTCACAAGGAGGCAGTGGGTGCTAATTTTGCGTCACCACCCGCGCCATCAGCACCACAGCCTTTCGTGGACCCAGCGATTCTGAGTTTCTCGAAACCTCCCTCGAAACCAGTCGACCAAAGCCCAGAAGCAGCGGCACCTTCGTCCCAGTCTGTCCCCATCAACAGATCGAGCTCCCAACATCCTCAGCTATCGCAGCAAGTCGTTCGTGATCAGGCTGCTGTCCTTAATGAACCGTTTAGCAACCTTGAGTTAGATGTGAACAAGGCCCCACCCGAGAGCGGAATCGCGACACAAAATGCACCCCCTCTGCAACAGAGCTTACACTACGGACCCAAGACCAATCGTCGCGGTGGTGCGCCTAAGGTCTCCAAGGTTGTCAACGAACACGATGGAGCAGCGAATACAAACCCGAAGACCAGGGGCTGGCGCCAGACAGCATTTACCGAGCCCTCGCACCCACAACTCGCGGAGACACGCAACAAGCAGCGGCGGAAGAAGAAGGGCAGAGCCAGTTATGCCGAGGACCCGAATGGCTGGGCGACAGAAGACGCCACGGATATTCAGGAATTGGGCGAGTTCGATTTTCAGAGCAATCTTTCCAAATTCGACAAAAGACGGGTTTTTGAGGAGATTCGCAATGACGACACTACCGCCGATGAGGAGCGCTTGGTCAGTTTCAACAGAAGACCGAAACCCGGAACGAACGGTGGGAGAAACCTGCATTGGACGGAAAACGTTCTCGACAGTCTTGAGGAGAGTGAGGAGGAGCTTACTGACCACGTCCCGAGCGACGCGAAGCTTAGCAGCGGAACCTATTCAGGACGTGAGCGCACACTGTCTTCCAGGGCGCCACCTTCTCGCAAAGGCAGTGCTATTCTCGGACAGCCATTGGTCCCTGCACAGGTCAACTCGCTTGGTCGCAGTCAATTGAGCACGTCTCGAACCACCAGCCCACGCCCGAATAAAACTCCCGTCTCAGCATCGCCGATAAGCGGCCCCGGTGTGTCTGGGGCCTCTCTACGCCTCACGACTACCAACAGAAGCTGTCCAACCGTGAGTCCGCTCCAGACTCTTGAGGTTGAGCAGATTGCGGTCGCGGAGCTCGGCCTCACCGAGGACATGATAACAGAAAACACTGGGCGAGGCATTGCGGAAGCCGCCGTCGGCCTTCTGACTAGTGACGCGGCCGCCCCGACAATGCTTATACTCACAGGCAATCACCGGACTGGAGCACGGGCTATATCCGCTGCTCGCCATCTGCGCAACAGGGGCCACCGTGTCACAGTTTGTATGCTGGGAATTGAGCACGAGAACGAGCTGTTAGAGAATTGCCGCAAGCAACTCGACGTGTTCAAGAAGATCGGCGGTCGAGTGCATCGGTGGGAAGATCTCTCAGCCCGACTGACAACCTCCGAGTTTGCTCCCGACTTGGTGGTCGATGCACTATTTGGTATTCACATTGCCTTTGAGGACCTTCGCACAGACGATCAAGCAGTAGCCTTCGAAATGATTTCATGGGCCAACAGAAGTAATCTTGAAGTCTTGTCTGTGGACGTCCCCTCCGGTCTTTCTGCTATTAGTGGTGAGTCTCTCTTCCTTGAACATTGATTAAAATTGCGGCTGGTCTCTAATATGATACAGGCGAAGCGACGGTGGTGGAAGGCGGTCGAGTCTGCGTCAATGCTAAGTCAGTGGTTTGCCTAGGCGCTCCAAAGACTGGTATCGTCAACGCCTTGCTCTCGGGAGAAGGACTATCATGGAATCTCTCGGTAGCAGACATTGGAATCCCTCAGATTGTGTGGAGGAAATATGGCAGTCGACGACGCCACGGAATTGACTTTGGCAACCGATGGGTGGTGCCGCTACGCTACCAGCCACCTCCTGTGTAAAGCAGGCTTTGCATGCATATGATGATTCTATGACCCAAAAAGTCTTACGGCGTTTTCTAGGGAGTGGGAGATTGAAGAGTAGAGCAGGTACTTGCGTTGTGAATGATGATGATGAAAGGTGGGGGGGGGGACGAGAATACCATGAGACGTGACCTCCTGGAGACGTGACCTCTTGAAATCGAATAGTCGACGGAGGCTTTGTATTATAGTGCTGTATATTTAGCAATGGAACCCATATCATGACGATCATTGTTATTCTTTCACCAGCATTGTCTCTATGTTCGGTTCGTTTAAAAAACATTTATTACTATGAAGTTATCAGCCTTGTGGTATGCCGCGGAGAACGAGGACATGTCGGTGGTGTATCGGCTGCACTTGCCGACTATGGCAGGTACGTTATCTCCACTCCAACAGTAGTATCAAATCTCAATGCAGCTTTTTCTTTAGACACTCAATCATCTCAAATAGTGGCTTTCACATATTTAATCTCTATTATGGCGCTGACGAGGTTCGTGGCCAGCGCCTTATGGAAGAGCGTCTAGTCGACGGTCTTACCAGGGGTGGTTTTCTAGCGCATGCGCTACGCTTCTTTGGCACATGGTCTTCATTCACTCCCCACTGCAACTCCTACTCGACCCGAGTCCTTGTTAAGTGTGATCTCCTATTTCCTGAAGTCAGACTTCTGTGCCATCAGTTCACCCTACTTGACTCTTCGCGCCTCCCCTATCCTATCGAGCCTGGGGCTAAGAAGACCACCTTATCACCAGCATCATGTCGTCGAACACCACATCATCACCGGCCGACCAAGCAATGCGTCAGCTGCAATCAGAGCAATCTCGAGTTCTGGATATCGTCGATGAGTTGCGCACCATCGGCGTTGGGGCCCTGGTGGAGCTGCCCCAGCTGATTGTCTGTGGCAATCAATCCAGCGGCAAGAGTTCGGTCCTGGAGGCCATCTCCCGCGTTCGATTTCCAGCCAAGAGTAATGTGTGCACGCGGTTCGCGACCGAAGTCATTCTCCGCCGGCGACCGTCAAGTAGTATCAAAGTCTCCATCGAACCAGGTCCATCGCGTACGAAGATGAGAGACAGAGACTCCGCGGATTCACCTCGGAGGCTTTCTCCAATGGCGACGACCTCCCCTCACTGATCGAGAAAGCCAAGGAGTGCATGGAAATTACGGAATCCGTGAACGCCGGTTTCAGTGATGACGTGCTCAAGGTGGAAATCTCTGGCCCAGACAAGCCCGAGCTGACGTTGGTGGACCTGCCAGGCCTGTACTACTCAACCAGCCAGGACCAAGGCCGCAAGGGCATCAGCATCGTCCGGGGCATCACCGAGAGATACATGAAGAACACCCGCAGCATCATTATGGCGGTCATCACGGCGAAGGCCGACTACCATCTACAGGAGGTCCTGGACATGGCCCGAAAGTTTGACCCGCAACGAGAGCGAACGCTTGGTATAATTACCCAGCCGGACATCCTGGAGCCCAGTTCGGAAGAGGAGGATACATACCTGCAATTCCTCAGAAATGATAAAGTATCCTTGCAGCTTGGCTGGCATGCGTTACGCAATCGTTCGTTTGAGACGAGAGATGCATCAGATGATGCTCGAGACGAAAAAGAAGCTGCGTTCTTCGAACAGGGCCGGTGGGCCTCAATCCCTTCCGAAAACGTTGGCATAGATAGTCTTCGTCGTCGGCTGAGCAACATACTGTTCAAACACATTCGCCGCAACCTTCCCGAGTTGGTCACAGATGTCCGAAAGAAAATCGAGATTCGGCAGAGCAGACTCACGACGCTTGGGGAGGCTCGTTCAAGCCTGCAGCAACAGCGAGGCTTTCTTCTCGGCATAAGTACCGGCTTCGAAAAAATTACAGGCCAGGCATTGAACGGCATGTATTCAGACAGGTTCTTCGAAGATGGGCCAGAGTATATTCTCATGGGTCAGGATGATCGCCGCCTCCGAGCGATGATTAGAGAACTGAATGAGTGCTTCGCTGAGGCCATGAGTGTCAGGGGCAAACGACGCACTATTATACATGGCTGGAATCAGATACTATCACGTTCGGACATCGCAGCGTTGAGCGCCAAACCCTATATGAAAGACTGGGAATACTCATGCGTCAGCCGCGAATCTCTTGAGCTCGAACTCAACAGCCAAGCGCGTCGAAAACGAGGTATCGAGCTGCCCGGAAGTGCCAATCAATTGCTTGTCGGAGATCTGTTTCGTGACCAGGCCAGACCTTGGGAGGAAATTGCTCGTGAGCATATGATGCACGCTTGGTCGGTAGTGAGATATTTTATCCATTCTGTCCTGCAACACCTCACGACCGAGCACACATATTCGTTGATAGCCACGTCTCTTATCGACCCGGAACTCGACAAGATGAAAGAGTCCCTCCTGGCGAAGCTAAAAGAGTTGACCGCTTACACGAAACGTGGACACCCTCTGCCTGTAGGAAAGAGCTTTCTTTCTAAGATCCAAGAATCCCGAGATGACCGCCAGTTCAAAGCACTAGAGCAAAGACTGTTGTCGTCAAAGAATGCTTCTGCGGATGCTTCCTTTACCTTGAACGACTTGAAAAAGGCTACCACAGGTTCAGAAACAGAGGGAAATGAGTTCGCTGCGGCGGAAATCATTGATCAGATGCAAGCGTACTATGATGTTAGTGACATCTGCCAACTTGAACCGCATATCTACCCTCCTAACGACTTATCTGAGTTCTTCTAAACCGCTATAGTGACCTTTGTGGATAACGTGGCGATTCTTGGCATCGAGAACTGCTTGCTCGCCCCCCTAGAAACCATTTTCACAGCCCAGACTATCAACAACTTAAGCGATGAGAGGATTCAAGATCTTGCCAGTGAACCATCCTCGGTTGAGCAAGAGCGAAAGCGCTTGTCTGAAGACCTGCGCAAATTGCAAGAAGGCTTAAGCACACTCCGCCTTTTCAGCACACAGATGCCAACACTATCAAAACCCATGGTCTTCAGTAAGGTTCCGTTGACCAGTACACGGCATGCAGGAACTGACTTGGGATATGATTAAGCGCAGAGCCCTCTATTTAATGCCAGGACTTCGATTCCTTTCAGAAGCACTAACGAATGCGAGGACTCAAAGAAAAACGGTCCTTCTTGTAAGTGTGTAGGCTGACTTGCCGCAAATATCACTAATAAGTTGAATAGCTTCAAAGCAGCCAAGTTCTAGCCCATTTACTGTGGCATCCTATGATATTGAGCAGGCCAAAACCTCTATCTCAGATTTTTCCCGTTCTTCCGCAGCCTCTGACCAGACAAAGAACTCTTCTTCTGGCAGCTTATTTAATACCGGAAAAAAGTCCGCTACGAGCCTTTTCGGGTCTCCATTTAATGGACTCGGGCCATCCTGTGATATTGAGCAGGTCAAACCCTCTAGCTCAGGATTTTCCCGTTCTTCCGCAGCCTCTAAACAAACAAAAGACCCTTCTCCTGGCAGCTTATTTGGTACTGAAAAAAAGTCCGCTACGAGCCTTTTCGGATCTCCACCTAATGAACTTGGGGCATCCGGCTCTACCAGCGGTACAAGCTCTGCAGACAACACCCAAAGCAGTGGTTATTCCTCCAAGACTCCGAGCACTAGAGGCTTTTTAGGGTAGAATCTCCCTTCTAGTCACTAACCCTTCTATGTATTCCCTGCGTTACTCTTCTTTAGCTCTCCCTTGAGATTTGCTTCATTTGTGCGTTGAATTGATGTAGTACCAGCAGAAACCCATGATTTCTGACGATCTTTTTGGGGACTAGGCCCAATTTCTGGAAAATAACTGCTGAGGGCAATGTCTTGAATGTCTATCAACACATCGCTTTGTTACAGCAATTCGCTGGCTTCTCTTCAGAAGTGAGTTAATTGATGCCTTGTTATGCATGCAGGTGATACTAATAGGAGCACAGGAACTTCGACTCGGAGACTATGAACGGGGTGACAAACCTCGCACACCATGGTTACTAGGCTCATGATATCATTGCTGTTTGTGTTTGTAACTACCATAAACATGGCTTGTAGACTGGCTGCTGTATAGCATAAGAGTGTTCTTCTATTCTTCTCTGTTTATCTTATCTCTGGTAAAAATCTGGTCGCAAGTAGACAAGCCCCGCAACGTTTTAAGTAGTCAAACAGTTACTATCCATGTACAGTACATATGGGTGCATTACCCGCATGACCTTTCTTTCTGGAGATCAATGACTGTCTTCCGTCTTGCCAGCCGCGAAGGTAACTCCTAGGGATGAGTATTGCGAGCTTACACAAATTTATGCTACAAGCGCATGGCCACACCCCGTTTGATTGCCAGCACCTGTGAGCCGCGATAGTGTCTGCAATAAACTTGTCTGTATCTAGGTCAGCCCTGTATCTGGGTCTTGTTTATTCACACTGTCACTACAGAGTTGATCTATTGATCAATTGACTGACAAGTTTTGTTAACCGGAGTGAACCCGCCTCCAAGTCGCTAGATTCAGTTGTCAAGTACACTATACCCATAACACTCCTTGATACTACTATAAGAGATTTTTGACTCGGAATCGTTATATAATTTGATCCTATAGGCCTAGGCTCTGTAGATATTCTAGTTGCATAGAGGAGCTGCCTTTTTCTCTAAAGTCTAATATCAAAGTAGTAGAAACATTGATATTTAAAGCTAAATTAGACTAATCTGGCTAGTACAGGATAAACAAAAGGCTTTAGATAGAGCTAATTTCCCTACCTATCTTCCTGGTAGACTTGTTCTATCCTAGATCCGTCTAAAGATAGGTACCTTGGGACTTGATATGTAACTATAAGGAAACTTACAATATCGCCTGGTCCATGAAGTATGTGCTGTCCCACTAGGTAAGCAATATGTACTTCTGGAAGCGCGAGTAAACGCAATACTTCTCTCCAGCTTGCCGGATGTAGATGCCGCTCTATTCCATGGACGGCACGAATGTCTAGGGCTAAGATATACCCTCAACCAAGCAGCTCTTTTCTATGCGTATCATGACTTGTTGCTGGACTAAACGCCACTGCAGTGGAATAGATTGGATTTTCCTTTAGCTATGCTCTCGCTCACCCACTTCGTCTGCTCTTTGCCCAGACGCCTTGAGAGACAGGGGCCTACAACGAATGGACTCAGGAACAGCTTTTCAGTATTGTGAATTAGGCAAAGATGTCGCCGGTGTTGCTGCAGCATAAGAGAAACACAACTGCCGCTTTCGGTCTCCGTGTGTTATTCTCCGACTGTGTTTATACTAAGCATGTGTTAGCAAAGATATCTTCTGTCAAATTTGGGGGCAGGCCATTTGCGAGGGAGTGTTCTATTTGACTTGGGGATATCATCTGGCAGTGAAGCTTGAGTCTCTATCCTAGATGCTGTCAACAACCTCTTCTTCAGTTCTGGCATATATTTCGTTTATCGCAGGTCGATATTTGGCCTAAGATGTGCAGATTCTCGGTGCGTGTCCACGATTGTGGCCACTATGACAAGTCTCTCACCAACCCCTGCAAGGATGCTAAACGCCGCAAGTCCGTCTGCGAATTTGGCGTCACCGAGGTCGCCTCGTTGAGTCTTCAGCGTTGGTGTGGCATACCTGGCTGTGATAAAATGCCCGGCCTCAAGCGGGAGGGACCAGGTAAGTCGGTTCTTGTGGCTCTTGTCCTGGTTCTCGGTTTAGTGTTGTTCGCTTTGTGACATTGAAGATCAGCTGATAGAACCGACGGCGACTTCGATGAGAACGACATTAATTGGAATGCCTACGACGACGACTGATTGGATATTGTACATCATGCCTGGTTTTCGGCACCCTTGAGCTGCGACAGCGCACTCGACAAACTCGTCTGTGTTCCGATATCTCCCACCATCAAAGTGTCCGCAACCTGGTGCAACGTCTTCACATACGGTCCATCTCCTGCCTGTGATGCAATCTCAGAGAGAAGCTTTCCATAAGCCCAAATGTCGTTGTACTGGCGCTCTTCAGATGAAAAGTCAAGGTGCAAAGGTTTTTCACAAATTCCTGGTGCGCACCACTCCCTAGTGTGTCCGCCTATACCGCTAACGTCGATAAGGACTGCATTTCCCTCGACATCGAGAACAATATTCGAAGGTTTTAGGTCCATATGGGTTTTCTTAGCTTTGTGGAAGCACTCCAATGCAGTTCCAATTTGGACAGCCCAATTCTCCCAGCAGTAGTCTGCGATACGATGCTCCGTAAGGACCTGCTGTAGTGTGCCGCCAGGATATGCCTTGAGCAGGATTCCAACCATCACGAGTTGTTCCTCGCCTGTAGTTGACGTCTGGTAAGGATTTTTAGACACCACAACCCCCGCCGCTTGCGCAATATTGGGCATTTCCGCGAAATACTCGAGATTTTCCAGCTCCTTGCGAATAACTTCGGTATCATCGGGGTAGTATATAGTACGGTTGACCGTCTTGAGAACATACTGAACCCCACCGTTGCTGACCCAGAATACGTAGTCAGTAATGTCCTCACCTCTTGAAAGCTCCTCATATTTAAACCTGCGGAAGGAAGGAAACTCGTCGCACGAGGGATAGACAACTCTCCGAGGGTCTTCCTGGATTCTGCATCTTAAGAACGTCGAAATGGCATCGCCCTTCGTCTTCGTCATGTTTGTGGTAGTGGCAACTTTGACCTCAAATTCTAGTCCCGGGGATGCGGTACTTTCGTCCGTCTCATCCTCGCCCAATATGATCTCAGTCACGGTGTTGGCTAGGAGAGGAAGCGACTCGTAGTTCAGCTGTTGGACGAAGCTCTGGAAGAATTCGCGTCGTTCACGCTTTGAAGCTTGCTGCTGCTGCTGCTGCTGCTGCTGCTGCTGCTGCTGCATGGCGACATTTTCAAGAAGTTTAGCAACGGGGCCTAGCAGCGTCACAGTGATCCACCATCTGTCGTTGTCAATGTAGTAGATAATCGCCTGTGAGCGACGGATCGGCTCCGGCGTTCCCAAGCAAGAATAATCCCGAAGCTCGGAATATTTCATCAACTCAATTCGGGGTGTTGACTTGGTAGCAATTGATTCCTCTGCGACTGATTCTTCTGCCATATTTGATGGATGGATGAACTGGATACAGAAGTTTGTGAAGTAAGCTGGCTTGGGATGCACGTAAGAGAGTGGCTGGAAAATGAGAGTTCACGTGCTGGAGTTGAAGAGAAGTTTGGTGGTTTGATTTCACAACAAACAGTGACTAATGGATGGGCTTGCCATCGAAACTCGACGTTGTTGATACTATCATGGATGGGAGTACGTTACTTAGTGCTGGTTGCCAGTGCAGTGAGCCGATATTCCTTCCTAAACGAGTATCGTGTTTGCCAGGCAACCCGAGGTGCCATCATCTTCGTCTACATACTACCTCGATAAACCCATACTTTGTCTGCCCCATCTCTGGGGCATCGCTAACTAATCTATAGGTCGATCCCGAAATAGTATGCCTGGAAATCTGGCCTATGATGCCTGGAGACACCGACTTTTCTATCCCAAAAGCCTCGTGGCTGTTCCAATGCAGCCTTCGCCAGTGGGAGCCTAATCCAGGGAGACTGTCTCACTACCTTGTACCCATCGTCAGGCTCATTGCCATATCGGTCGATCTTTCATGACGATGTCGGGGCCGCGGCTTGGACTGCTGCTGCCTGATACCACTAAGCACTGTTGCCTTGGAGTGAACCATCACCGCCTCATCGCCTTTCAGGATCACTCGGGGTTCTTTCGACACACGCACCTGCGTGCTCACTCCACGCTTCTGAGTTAAGGCCAGGCCACCATATCTGCTCTCGGCCTGCTTTTAACACGGGCCTCAATCTATGTATGTAAGCCCTTGCACTAGTGCCGCGTCATGCCTTCAGCTATCCATGAGGTGGGCACCCAGCTTGCCCCCAGAACATCTTCTCCAGTACATGCTATTTTTTATGTCTAATACTATCTTCTAAATCCAGATCTTGCCATTCTTGTCATCCCCGTCGAGCATCCGACCGACTGAGACCTCAACCGCGCATCCTGTTGCATGCTTGCCGATATGCGCTCACATGGTGAAGAGATATGGGGCTGAATCATTGATCGGTCGACGTAACTGTCCGATAAATTACTGAGCGCAAGCAACTTCCTCTGGTTCCGGAGTGAAAGGGGCTATCTATCGCGATTAGTCTGCTCTGTGCGGTTCACATAACGTTGATATCCGCCGGATACCACTCGCAACCACCAGCTGTGCGCCCAGTCTCACCTCATAGAGCTTGAAGTCGAAGGCCAAGACAATCATGACAGGCAAAATATTTACAGCATTTGCGGGTGGTCGACGAGGACATTCTGCGATTTCTGGTGGACAGAGCATTACTCGCGGAGGTGCATGTGGAAATGCATAGGTTACTTTGTGTCAAGGGGCTTGAAGAGTGATATACAGAGGCTTTGAGGCGCTAACTGATCTTCTTTGAGCAGTGAGGCCAGTGAAGTATGGCGAAAGTCCAGACTTTTCTACGATTTATCTTTGCATGTCTATGTTTTGTGGGAGGTGTATGGGGAAGTGGTTCTGTGATTGGCATATGCAGGTGCTAGTGGTACATCGCAGAATTCTGCTAATCATTATAGCCGAATCATCCCATAGAGATATATACTGTACATTCTGTGATGCTTGTTGTATCTTTGAGCACCACTAATGGGCATGTATATACACCAGAGTAAATACGGAGTACAGAGCAGGAGAAGTAAACAATTGCTGTACGGTATAGATTTCACAAGATAATCTAACCCAAATAGGTTAGTCTCGGCCACCCCAATACATCATCTCTTGGAGAGCGGCGACAAACCAAACCCGCGGAGGAGAGCTGGCGCTGTCACAAATTCTTGGGAGCTTTTGTCGCAACGATGGGTAAAGGTAAGCCTCATTCGACTCCATCCCTGAAACCCGCTCAGTCTGAGAGCTTGCTAACAGAATATAGGAACGGATAAATTATATGTGCGCTGTCTTCGCCCTCTACCTCAATCCCAGTTTGCGCTTTCGCGCGTTCCTAATCTCTTATCGCATTTGCGGTTGGGCTGACCCAAAAGTCTTCCACAGATCACGCATTCAGAGTGGGCGTCGGAGGATGCATTCTCCGCCAGCGCTGGAGCGGGCGTCACGCGCGCGAAACGCGGAGGAGTCGATACTAGTTTCAAGCGCCTGCCCTTCAACTTCTGCTCGCTCTCCCTTCAACCGTACGCGCACCCGGTGTGCACCCACGAGGGCACAATTTTCGACCTGACCAACATCCTCCCCTGGATCAAGAAGCACGGCACGAACCCGGTGAATGGGGCGCCCCTCAAGAACTCCGATCTCATCAAGCTCAACCTAGCCAAGAACGAGGCCGGCGAATACGTCGATCCCGTAACCTACAAGGTTTTCACCGACAACACACACATCGTCGCGCTGCGGCCGACAGGGAATGTCTTCGCGTGGGACACGGTCGAGCGGCTAAATATCAAGGGCAAGCTGTGGAAGGATTTGGTTACGGATGAAGAGTTCACCCGGAAGGACATCATCACGCTGCAGGACCCGCAGAACATCGAGTCGCGGAACCTCAGCTCGTTCAACTACATCAAGGAAGGCGAGAGCGGGTTGACCGAGGAGCAGATCCGGGAACGAGAGGACCCCGCCAACAATGTCAATGCCAATGCTCTGGGCAGTTCGGCCAAGATTTTGAGAGCAAGGGAGGCGGTGGCCAAGGCCCGCTCGGAGAGGGCGCAGCGCGCGGGCGTCGCTGGTGCGGCTGCTGCCTCCGTGTCCAAGACTGGGGCTGGGCCTGGGTCTGTTGGTGCCTTGTCGCAGGCTAAGAAGCCGGCTGCTGGAAAAGCAACTCCCTATAATGCCGCACGGCATACGACGGGGTTGGCTGCTGCCTCATTCACGAGCACGGGGATGACCCCGCACACGTCCGCCGACCTCGCATTGCTTTCGGACGAGGAATACATGCTGAAGAGGGGTCGCGTCAAGCACAAGGGTTATGCGCGCATCTCGACTACGTCTGGGGATATCAACCTGGAACTGCACACGGAATATGCACCCAAAGCCGTGTGGAATTTCATCAAGCTCGCCAAGAAGGGTTACTACAAGGATGTCACCTTCCATCGCAATATCAAAGGCTTCATGATCCAAGGTGGTGATCCATCCGGCACCGGACGCGGAGGCGAGAGTATCTGGGGCAAGTATTTCAACGATGAGTTCGAGGGGCCTCTGAAGCACGACTCTCGAGGCACGCTCAGCATGGCCAACAAGGGCAAGAACACGAACAGCAGTCAATTGTAAGTGATTTTAGGCACCACATCGGCGTGACCGACTTCCCAACCTTACCGCTGACCTGCACGCCACCAGTTTCATTGCCTATCGCGCCCTGCCTCACCTGAACAACAAACACACCATCTTCGGCCATGTCATCGACGACCCGACCCCATCGTCCCCGACCTTGAACAAACTTGAGACACACCCCACCAACTCCACCACCAACCGACCCACCCCGGACATCCGCATCACCGATGTGACCATCTTCGTGGACCCCTTTGAGGAATTCCTGAAGCAAAAGCAGGCGGAGGAGGCCAAGGCCAAGGGTCAAATTACCGATCCGGCGGAGGAGGAACAGAATGCACGCCGTGAGGACGACGATCGTGTGACCTGGACAGGGAAAAGGGTTCGTGGTGCCGGAGGTGGTTCTGCAGAGGAGGGCTCGGCCGGTGTAGGGAAATATCTCAAGGCCGCCCTGGCCGAACGGGCGGGCCAGGAGGAGGACGAGATTGTGGAGTATGTGGATGATGAGCCTGAGCCGGAACCGGTGCGGAAGAAGATGAGAGGCGCTGGGGGATTTGGAGATTTCAGCTCATGGGATTGAGAGTTGGCATGTCCTGAAGTTTAGGGTTCTACATAGTACCATTTTAATATGGTCTGTACAAAACCACTATGGCATGATGTTGTTACTCAGTAGTTGTAGTTGATTGTATACAAACTCTGGTTCTCGAATAGTCATTATGCGGAGATACCTGGTCAGGTCACTAGAGAAATTGTACGTAAGCATCGGTTGAGTGGCGTAGTTAGTTTTCCAGCATGTGTCACCATGATGCTGATGTCTTTGCTCTCACTTTTGTCTCTTTACTTGACCTACGTATGTAAGCGGACTTTCAGTGCCGAAATGGCCAGGTGCCAAGACCGAAGCTCGTCGTCGTCATCGCCGCCGCGTCTCCACAATTTCAGGGTCACGTTATTTTGCCCGATGCCCCTTGACCGCTTCCCCAATTTAGTGCTGCCCCCTCCGGCTTTCCCCCGATCGGCTTTAGTGGTGATGGAAATGGAAATAGAAGAGAAGCACGCAAAGGAAGGAAGGAAGGAAGGAAGGCACTGGGCTCCATGCAGCACGGGCAGGCCAGACTAGCAACCTAGCACATTAAGTACTGTACTATAGTCTTTCAGCTTTGTAGCGCGTGCTAATAATAAACCCCCTACGATTCCGGCCGCCGCCCGCCTCACTACAACTTAACTACTCATACTACGCACCTACAGAGAGCACTGCACTCACTGCCACTGCCGATTCCCCGGCCCAGCTAATTATTTCCTTACTACTCAATATTAACTCCGACCATACCACCACATCCTCCCCTCCAACCACCACCACCACCACTCCTTCTCTTCCTCTTCCTCTTCTTAACTACCTTACCTTTACCTCCAGTTCTTCCCCATCCTATCCTTGTGGATTGCTTTCTTATCACCTGTTCCTCGTGAGTAATTCCTGATCTACTTTTTAATATCAATCAAATTCCAATTTGTCGTGTTGTCTCTCCCACCCTCCCAAGTCTCCGGAGCACGCAGTGGGGGTGGCCTACAAACGAGCCCGTGACGCTGGAATGGATATACTACTCAGTATAATTTCAGACATGTCTTAATCACCGAGACTCTCCTCTTCCAGCCCCGTGTTTCATTCCTATTAGCTGTTGTAATGATGTTTGCCCAACGGGCGTACATTTTTCCCCCCCATAGCACATACTGTACATGCTCTTCCATCTGGTGTTGTTGTTGGACCACGAAAGTCATTTATTCTGCATTGCTAGCTGAGAACCATCGTTTTTGGGGATCAGTGGTCATCCATGAGCTTCTACTTAGGGTCGATTGTTTACTGATCCCAAGCACTGACGTCTACAGGTTACTCAGCTCTATTCCCTCGCTTCCGCCGCAACTCAACTCTCTCGCATCCTACGTCAGTCTCCGCCGGCTTTGGACCCAAGGCTTTGCCCTCTGCTTTTCCCCCCTCCCCGCGCGCCGCCGCCGCCGCCGCCTCCGCAAATCACCCTTTCCTTCTGAGCCACTTCTTCTCCCTCTCAACAACCCCCCCACCCCATTCTTTTTAAACCCCCCTTCACTGCTCCTTCCCAAATATCTTCAGAAATACAATCAAGCT